TCTCTCTCTCTCTCTCTCTCTCTCTCTCTCTCTCTCTCTCTCTCTCTGGTATATGTGAATTACGTGTCCATGGCTGTATGTTTATGTGAATGAAGGCTAAGAGTCAGCATCACTGTCTGCCTCCTTATTTGCCACCATATAACTTGAGACAAGGGCTTTTACTGACCCTGGCCAGTCAAGATGGGTGAGCTTTTGATCAAACCTCAGACATTAAACCTAAATGTCTAGAGAGCACCTAGAAGATAAGTGCACAAATTTTTAACAATTTAGAAACTTGTTAGGTGGTATGTCTTAAGGTTGCCTTAGCTTTATTAATATTAGCTATATGAGGAATTCTGCTTCAGGTTTTTCACTTATAACAAGGTATTTCTTTTATTTTTTCTTGTCTTGAAAATTATTTTCAGCAACCAACTCTGTAACTGTGGTCCAGCATGCTAGGGTTGATTCTATTAGTAGTGTGTTGCTCACCCCTAAATTTATCCTCTGCATAGACACGTGTGAAAAGCATATGGAGCAATGAACGTCATTCTAGCCATAGCTGTCTTCAGTGGAGTGCTTATCTAGGTCGAACACCATGCTTGTACTTTATCTTTATTGTGAACGTCCCTTAATTTACTCCCTAACCCTATTGCTGTCTTCATTTCACTGATAAAAATCTCGGGTTCTTCAAAATATGAGCCACCAAAGTACAAATGCAAAAAAAAAAAATGTACATGATGCAACCCAGAACGCCACACAAAACTCCACAAAGGCACCAAGCCCAAGCTCCAGCCCCCAGTTGCACATCGCATCAGCAGCTCCATGAGAGAGCAGGAGTTTACCATCACATCCACAGCCATCCGAACTGATCCGAAAGCCTTCCTGACAGCCGCATTCGTAGCCTCCTGAATAGTTGATGCAGAGCTGGGCACAGCAGGCATCTCCACTCTCACATTCATCAAAGTCTGAAGGGCAAAGGACATTTGTGTTATTCCAGGAAGCAGAATCCAACAAAATTGAAGAAGCTTTGAGAGGCCTCATCTCTGAATTAAAGCTGATTAACCATTTCTCACTTCTCAGGCCACATAGTACAGACATTGAAGGAACGATCCCATAAGAATATGACACCTACTTTTGGTTTATGTGTCTGGTATGCTCCTTGCATGTCTGCTGTTTAATTTAAAAGAGTATAAGTCATCTTTAAATGCATTTATAATCATAGGAATAGAGTTCTCTGCTACTTTTTCCAGTTTAAAGGGCAATCTGACTGAATCAATAGAAGTTGAGGAACAAAAAGACAGAATTAAGGATGAAGATCCAAAGAATTCCACTTAGTAACTAGGGTTTGACAGCCGCAGAAAGCACAGCCTCAGACTTTGTAATGTGCCTCTTCAAGACTGAAGATCGAGAGTGTTCCCAAGTAAACATTCCCCTTGCACTCAATGAGGGAGAGGAGTTGTATGTCTGTGAGATGGAAGGAGGCACCCTTACTTCCCATCCTGTGTATTAGATTCTGGAGTATTTCAGAGTATTCCCTTAAAGGTGCTGATGCTGCATCGCGTGGGATGAGTGGGGTCCGCGTGCGGGGTTTGCTACAGCTGTGAAATCTTTCCCCTGTCAGGTGAGCAGCTGTTTAGACAGCATTCTCATCGAGAACTCTACAGTCGTGAGAAATGCTTGTTCTTAAGACACAGCTGGCCTGGGGGACAACCGAAAAGCTCCAGTAGTTGTCAGGAGACCCTTCAGTCAGACAGCGATCTGCCTGGCCCAAGCTTTACAGGGTCGCTCCGAGCAGAAGAGGGAAAGGCTGTTGTAGACACTCGCTGTTTTCCCGTGCTCTGGGCCGCCAGAGATCGCATGATGAAGGCGCTGGCTTTCAGCCCCTGGCTCAAGTCTAGCCTGCCTGCTGAGCTGTGAGGTTGGGTGTCTGTCACTGCTGAGCAAACAGAATCCTATTGCTCCAGGACTACACGAGCGACCACTGGCACAGAGAGGTCAATGTCTCAATTAACCTGGGGAGAGTCAGCAGAGGCAAGGAAATGAAGATGAGAGACCGGAAGGAAGGAAAGGAAATGCAAGCAGTCAGTCAAGGTGAGGGGTCACTATCTAAATGAAGGTCATCTGGCACAATGCATTCTTTTTCTTGCAAAATGTCACCAGGAGCTCCATTCAGAAGACTGCAGACAGACTGCAGATATTAGCTTTCATCATATTAAGCCTTTCCCTGCCCTTTAGATTAAACAAGGTGAACACAGAAGTTAAAAAAAAACAAAAGATAAAACATTTTTACTTCATTTAAAACAGTAGTCTTTGTGATTTTTTTTAAATTTTAGATATTTTTGTTTTCATTTTTAATTTTAAAAAAGGCTTCTTGCTAATAGAGCCTCTGAGCATACAGGTCTCAACTAGCAAGGGACTGGCTGTGCCATATAATCTGAAAATATCCCTTGTCCCAATTGCTATTATGTGTTAATTTCTGATTTTTTTTTGTCATTTCCATTCTCCAGGGAAATTTCTTACCTTGCACACTGACTTCAGTTCAAAATCTCAACAGAAACTTACCTTTTCTATGGTAGACTTCATGTGTGTGGGGGAAAGAGGTGCACATGCATGTCATGGGTGTGTGAGTATACACGTGTGCCCTGTTTGTATGTGGGTGCACATGCATCATGGAATCATAGGGGGTATACACATGCATGTCATATAGGGGATGGTACACATGAATGTCAAGTGAGGGATGTACATGTGTCACTGGTAAAGTCATATAGGAATTCAAATGCATGTCGTGTGTGAGTGCACATGCATGTCATGTGTGTGAGTGCGCATGCATGTCATGTGGGGGAGTATGAATGCATGTAATGTGGAAGAATGCACATGCATGTCATGTGGGGGAATGTGCATGCATGTCATATGTGGGAGTACAAATGCATGTCATATGGGGGGTGCATATGCATGTCATGTGGGGAGTTTACATGCATATCATGTGGGGGAGTGTGCATGCATGTCATATGGGGGGAATGCACATGCATGTCATGTGGGGGAGTGCCCATGCATATCATGTGGGGAAGTGTGCATGCATATCATGTGGGGGAGTGTGCATGCATGTCATGTAGTGCATGCATATGCATCATTGGTCAAGTCATATGGAGGATACACATGCATGGTATGTGGGGGGCACACATACCTGTGGTATGTGTATGGAAGTGCACATGTATCATGGGTCTTCCTCAGTGCTCTCTCCACTTTATGTTTTGAGAAAGGGTTTTAGTCACTGCATCAATTGGCCAGCAAGCCAAGGGGTTCCTTTGTCCCCTCCTAGGAGTCCTGGGGTTACAGACCCAGGCTTTTACTGCGTGCTGGGGACCAGAATTTATGTTTTCACATGTACAGAGCAAAGAGTTCACAGACTTAGCCCTCACTCGAATCTTTTCTACAAAGCGCTGTCACTTCAACCTTAATAACAGCTGCTTTTTACATTTCTTTATTTCTTCTCATAGTCTTGATGGAATCGTTACTCGTCTGGGCTCCTGTTTTGTTCAGACTTTAAGGGTTTTGGCTGCTATGCAGGCTGCAACACCGCTGCAGAGATGTAATGCACCTCTCACCTGAAGAGGCAAAACCTGCCCCCAAAACTGGAAGATTCATGTACTGAGATGAAATTTTTAACCACTCAGTTCTGAAAAGCATCAGAGTGAAAAGCCCTGTCCTCTGTCCACAGCCACCGAAGGGAAACTGCTAATAGTTCCCAGTATCTAGCCATTTGGATAGCTTGGCATACCTCACCGTGGTCAGACAACGGTCCCTCCAGTGACCCTTGACCCCTTTCTCTAGGTTCAGGACTAGGCTTCTACACTTTGGCAAGGCTGACCATTGTTGTGTTAGCTGTAGTTGGACCACTTTCATCTTGTCTTCTTTATCTCCATCGTTAGAAAACACCATTGCTTTTGTCTTGGTGAATATCTGGTCTTCAGAAATAAGCATTTTTATTATTGGAAAAAAATGAAGGAAAACAAACCATAAGCAATGTAGCATTGCCTCATTGACTGCTGAAATCTCATAAATACACAATTTCCTGCATTTTGACCCTAGCAGATGCTATAGATTTTCCAGCTGTAAATAAGTTTTCTGAATTATACTTTTCAAAGAGTAAAGACATCAAGGTTTGAAAGAATATAAGAATAAATACATTAATTAAAATATAAAGAAAAGATATAACTGTTCAGTTTTCTTTATTTAGTGCTCATGACAAACAAAACAAGAAAGGAAAAAGAAGGAAAGAAGGAAGAAAGAGGAGAGGGAGGAAGAGAACCATTCATTTCTTTCATAAATTTAAATATTAATGAGATGGAAAATGTGACACAGTTTACATCGCAAGAGACTCAAGGAAAACAATTGGTTCTGATTCATTGGGCACCATCGACTCATAGCGGTGTAAAACGCACTCCTGGACCAAGAAACATATGCAATGGCTTTGTCTAGGCTTAAATAATCTTGCGAGACCAGAGTACTGTAAATTCCATGATATTGTTCTCTCATAGTGCCCAAGGACCAAACCAAATAACCCAACCCAGCGCTTTCACCACCTCTGCCTTCCTGCTCTAAAGGGTTGGAATAGCGTGCAGTGAAAGTGAAGTTCTCTAGCGTTTTTGTTAGCGCTTTAAAGAGCGAAAACACATGCCATCATTAAGAAATCAGCAAATGCAGCGCTTCCATTTTCGAACAAAGACATCACTATCTGGAGGCTTGGCAGTTTCGGAAGCGGAACCTAGCAGTGCAGCTTCACACTGGCTCTCTTGCCTCTTAGCAGAGAAACACTTGGAGATCTCCATTTGGCATCTCTTTTTGAGGAAAGGCTGAATTGGGGTTATTCTTCTCATTGTTGCAAATGATCGAAACAATAATCATTATTGATAATAAATGAAGGAAACTAATGAGGCATCCTCTAGTAATATGTTGTTAAAGCCATCCATTAGAAATGGGGTTGGGGGTTGGAGAGATGGCTCAGTGGCTAAGAAGGTGAACTGCCCTTGCAGTGGCCCCAGGTTATCCTCAGAGCACCCACACCAGGCAGTTTGCAATCACTAGAAACTCTGGATCTAGGGGAACTGAATCCCTTTTCTGGACGTCGTGACTTATTGCGCTCACATGTACACATACCTATGCACAAACACACAAATGCACACAATTAAAGAAATAGGTTTAACCTGGGAAGTCCAAAGAATGATTATTTTTTTGAACTTTTCTTTTGGTAAAAGCTTCCATAGCACAATTGGACTTTCATCTAATTCGTTACCATATAGAAAACCAAGGAGCATGATTTCATTTCTGCTTGAGGTAGGAGGACTTTGAGGTGGGCTTGTAAGCACGCAAATCTGGTAGATTTGCAAGGCCTTAGAATATTTTCCTGAAACAAAACAGTAAGTTTTGTTCACATGCAGTTATATGTCTCATTAAAAGCATTTCAATCTCCTGAATTTCAGGGTAAATATCCAAGTCTAAGATGTCTTTGCTGTACGTAGCAGTGGTCAAATACACAGTTTAACGCAGTTATTTCTCTTCAATCTGAGGGGTGTGGCTCACACTGTAGCAATGGGCATTAGCAGGAAAGTCCTGAAGGAGTCCAGAGAAACTCTGAATGCAGATGGTGCCTATCAATCATTACCTATGCATGTCTTCTCATCTGCGTCGAGTCGATGTCCATGGTTACAGGAGCAACGGGGTCCACCAATCGCAGGTTCGCAGTGGTGAGAGCAACCCCCATTGTTCTTCTCACAGCTATTCACAATCTCCAGTTCAATTCCTTCCCAAAACAAGCAAAGGGAACCATTAGCATAAGAATAGAGAAAATGGAATATATGTTAACAATAGACGTGCTTTCTCTTTTGAGAGGCTGACACATTCTATTGAAAATATACCAACACTTTATGCATATAAAATTCTAAGACTTATCCTGAAAGACATATCATGAATACACATGCCTATGCTGTGTTGTACAACTAAGTGATAAGAAGTATTGATAAGTAAGGTAGTAAGAGGATGAGAAATGCAGTGATGAGTCCATCAGTGGCTACTAATACTATAAAAGACACTTCTTTTAGGGACTGCAAAGTGTGTGTGTGTGTGTGTGTGTGTGTTTGCATTAGAGTGTTTGCATTAAAACTGATAATTGTTCTTTTCAGTGACTGTGGGTTCATGAAACTACTATTAAAAGTAACTTGGTGTTGAAGAGATATTAAACCGATGTACTGGCTGATCATATGTAAGTTTCATCTTGTGAGAGCACTAACCAGCTTTGATGCATATAAAACACACTCATCACATTAGCATACTATTATTTTGGAAACATGTCACCATGCCCGGCATATGTTAGTAATTTGGACATATTGGTGAGCATCAGGCCCAGCATCTGAATGTCTACTGGACTGAGCATGCAGACATTGTAGCCTCTGATTTTCTAAATGAAGACACAGAAGTAAAAGAATGCTTGGCTCAGTGTTTCAAGTGTAAAATTTCAATGCGCTGACCACTGTTTACTTTGTCAATTCTGCCACAAAGGTGTGGGCACCCTGGTTCATTCACTGGACCCATATTGGCTTATTACCTTATGCGGTTAATGCCCCAGTCTGTTGGACGAAGAATATGAAAACTAACAGGACAAATGTACCTGGGATTGTGGCACTCCTTGTGACTATGCTTCATCCTGACACTGTGTGGAGAACCTGTAGTCTCCAAGATTGTGCTTGACCACTACAGTCTGTGACACACTGTCCCCAACCGGCACTGCAGGGCCCTGTCACTCTGAGCCCACGGTGCCTTCTTCATTTTGCCTTAGTAGCTCCCAGCAAATGTTCAAAAATACATTCCCAAAGATTGGTGAAATAAATGGAGATTCTGCTAATCAGTTTCCTGTTGAAAGAAGAAATCTCTGTAGGCAGAAGACTGAGAACACTAGAACACGTGAAGGACCAAAGGGCAGAGTGATTTCTATGCAGATGCTAATGTAGAACACATGACAGAGACCTGAGCTGCTCTTCGGGTTTGCCACTGTCAGCCGTGTAAAGAGATTTTCTTAACAGATTAAAACTATAAGGTTCAGAAACAAACAACAGCAATGAAAACACTTTGTTCCAAATAATTGAAGTTTAGAAATGTGCAAGTTTTCTGACCAGAGATGACTTGTATAAAGTGCTGCCCATAAAGCAAACATTATTTGATTAACAGCTTAAATATAAATTCATAAATATTCATAACATCCCTCTTCATAAAGTGCCCCCAAATTGGAGAATAACTGAAATTTTGTTATGTGGGTAAATAATAAACCAGTTTTGGTATGGTCAATCAGTAAAATAGCCCTCACTAAAGACAAGCCAGCTCCTCAGGGAAGCAGGAACTTGCCTGGATCACAAAAGCATTATGCTTGATGAAAGTTTCTGCAGGGGATAACATAGTAATACAGCGTTCTAGAAAAACAAGTCCAGAGAAGTAGAGCAGAGCCGCAACTTTCAAATGTCTGCGGTAGGTAGGAATCAGGGACAACTAACTCTAACCCAAAAGTGCTTTTTAGAGTGACTAAGTTACCTAATCCTGGCTACAAGGGTTTCCTAAAACTACACATGTTGCCCCGATAGTATTAAAGAAAAGTTCATTTTCTTGCCTGTTAACTTTTAGAAACACAAGAGCCGCTAGGTCTCACACTCTTTTCCAGTGGCTGCACATTGGTTCCTGGTCCCCGTTCCTTCCACCTGCTCTCTAGGCTTCCCTATTCTCTCCGGGATATTTGATAGTGTTCTTTCCTGACTCCGGTCCCTCCTCAGAGTTTTCCTTTTTTCCTCCTCTTTCTCCTCTTTCCACATGAACTCATTCTTGCTCACAGCCTGAACATTGTTTTCCCACTCGTGACCTTTACTAGTATCCAGATTATTGTTGTTTTCTATTTGGAAAATAGGTAGAAACTTTCGACTTGCGTTTCCACATGGGTTACCAAACTTCACACACTGCAGACAGAACCGATGAGTGGTGAATTCAATCCCTGTCTCTCTGACTGTTTTTCCCGAAGATCCCACACTTGGATAAAATTGATTAGTCTCTCCTGATTAGTGAAGCTTGAGGCCTTGAATTATTCTTGATCTTCTTTTCCTTACACACTCTGAGCAAAACTTCACAGTATACCTAAATCTGTCTCATTAAGACATAGAGGATGAAAGGGTTTGAGCTGTATGTATTGGTGCACTCCTAAAATCACAGCACTTGGGAGACAGAGCAGAGAGGATTGGCCAGGAATTCTAGGCCAGCCTGGGATAAATATCAAGTTTGAGGCTAGCCAGGGCTACAATGGTAAAATAAAATTAAATAAATGTTAAAAAGACAACCTTAGATCTACAGCTGGCCACTAGAAGTCAGTTGGTATTGGGTTTCTTGACCTCTGATGATTTACAATGAGCTACTTTCATAGTGTATAAAAATCACACAGGGCCCATGAATATGGCCCAGTGGAAAAGGAGCATCAGCCAGGTCTCACAGCCTGAGCTGATTCCTAACACTCACATGTTCAGAAGGAAAAATTAGACTCCTGAAAGTTTTATTCTGTTCTTCACACAACTGATGTGCCTGGCACACACACACATTCACACACACTCACATGCATACACATGCACACATATGCACACACGCACATGCATGTGCATATCACATTTTATTTTTAAAAAAGTTATACTTAAACAGAATCTGTTTCTTCTGATAGGTGAGAAATTCATCGTTTGCTTGATAGATACAATAATAAAGAATACGGATCTAATAGCACCAATATTAAATTGAGAATTCTTTTGACGAAAGTTTCGTCTCATGGAGAGCTGTGTGGAACTTTCCAAATCCGAATCACAGGGCAGGAAGTATGAACTCACAGCATATGATGAGGACTGAGTGACTGAGTGGTTAGATTTCAGAGTATTTCATGATTTCCTCTAAAGAAATTAAATGACCATAAAGCCTTTTCTCGGATAAAGGTGAAGCAAGTGTCCACAGCACACCCATCTCCTAGAGGAGCTGCATTTATGATTAAATATCATCTTGCTCTGACTAGATCTCCCCGGCCTGTGCATGCTGAGACACTAAGAACGCAGATTTTCACTGAGAAACGTTTGTATGACAGTAGTAAACATTGAGGTGTGGAGACGACCTTAAAGGGAACTTAGTTAAATATTCCCACCAGGAAAGTAAATGGAAAAAAATGCACTTCCTCCCAACACGGGCGACTCTAAGGCAAATTGCTTTCCTGAGTAAATTCTAAAGAAAGCTTGTAAATTATAAACCACTATTAATAATGATCCCTGCTTTCATGGTGCCTGAGAACTCGCTAGTCGGTTTGCAAGATTCATTCACACATTTTAAAATATGGTCATCCCCTAAGTCTGGCTATATTTAAAAACCAAACATTAATAAAGAAAAATTCCAACCCCATTTTCTCTTCCTGAAAGGGAGTGCTTGCAGGCATTCAGAAAGGGCTCCACCTCAGAAGTCCATTCTTAATTAATAGTCAGTTTCTCTCCCAACGTATTTACTTTGCTCTTTCAAAGGCAAACATCACTGTGAAGAAGCTGCTCTATAAACACAGTAGGAATGCATGGGCAGCCTGGGATGATACTTCTACAACCAGGAAACAGAATTCTATGCAGAGGAGAGTACATTTCCTGACTTTTCATGGTGTCTCTTCATGAAGAAGCCCAGAAAGAATGTGAACATGCTTGCTTGTCTATCTTTCTCTGTGTGTTCTTTGTCTCTCTCTCGCACACACACAAAATACATACAGTACATGGAAACGGTGGTGAAGTCGAAGGTCTTGTTTATGCATAATTGAAAGGCTATTCAAGTCCCAGTCCTAAGACTTAGTGACTTGTGTTATAAGCATTGTGGCATTAGCAGTGAGTGTGAAAGACCACAAAGAACACCTCCAAGGAAGAGATTCCATCTAGAATGCAGTCACTTCTGTAAGTAAGGCACTGAGTGTGCAGTTAAGAAATGTCATTAGAAGTAGAGGAACTGGAAGCCCAAATTGGATATTGAGATAGGGCAGAGATGGAGACGGGAAACTAGGACAGTGGAGGAAGGAAGAGAGCATTTCGGCAGCAAGGGAAGTCATTGTCTTGGTCTGGTTTCTATTGCTGTGATAAACAGCAGAGCCAAAACCAACCTGGGAAAGAAGGAGTTGTTTTAGCTTACATATCCCAATTAATCATAATCTGTCATGAAGCAAAACTAAGGCAGGAACTCAAGCAGGGAAGGAAGCTGGAGGCAGGAACTGAAACAACAGCCATGGAAGAACTCTGCTCTCTGACTTACTCTCCAGGGCTGGCTCAGCCTACTTGCAAACTCAGTGACTTCCACATCAATCATTAGTTCAGAAAATGGCTCGCAGCCGTGCCTATAGGCTACTCTGATGAAGTCATTTTCTCAACTGACGTTCTCACTCCCCCATACCCTGGCTTATGTCAAGTACCAAAATTATCCAACACAGTAACCAACTGCTGGAAGACACTGAACCTTGATTAAAAAAAATAAGCAGGTTTTAATTTTATCTGGAAACAGGAAAGGATAAAGACGAAAGAGTCCATGGAGGGTGAGAGTGGGACAGACCTGCTGGCAGGGTTGATGAGAAGTTAGGAGGTGAGAGAGAGGCAATGCTTATCTTGGCTAATGAAATTTTTGTTATGGAAATTTTAGTGGATGTGATCTCACTTGAGAGCATTTTTAAAATAGGAAATGTTTGTAATGTTAATTTAGAAGACAGTAATAGTGATGATTCAGACAAGAAGAGGATTATTATGAGGGCAATCTCTTGATTGATATATCTGAAGAAATAACAACCTCCAAACACAGCAAAAGAAATAGTTTTGGCAGCAACAGGACCTAACTTCTTCGTACTAATAGGGGTTGACATTTCTCCTTATAACCCTATGGGAGATTCGGGGAAACGCCTCAGCTTGCATGGTGGTTTGCATCTGGTTTGTTTGGTGCTATAAAAGTCAAGGTAGATAACTAAAGTGGGGAAAGATAGTGAATAAATCTGAAAGCGAAAGTTATTCATCAGGCATTTGAAAAAGGAAGATGTAGGTTGAAGTTGGGAGGATGGAGGTGAGCTAGAACCAGACAGCCCAGAATTTAGGAAAGTAGATAGTGTGCTTGCTTGTTCATGGGTAAAGGATCGGATAGGAAGCATCTACAAAAGCAACTATAGCCAACAACTCTATAGCCCAGCATTTTAAATACATCTCTAACAATGGATATTTTAAGTTGAGCTGAGATGGAAAACTAGGTATGGCTGGGGACACATGGAAAAGTGCTTGGCTAGGAAGTGGGAGGAATGAGTTCCGTGGTGAGCATATAAAATAGGATGAAGCAACTGAAGAGGTGTCAGGAAGTCAGTACTGAGGGCAAATCCTGGGATGCCCAATGGGTTGGGCATGGAATTACAGCCTATGGCTGTTCTTTCCTCTTATGTTTTCTTCATCCACACTCTTTCCTCTTCTTTGGGCATTGCGGTGGAATCTTTAGTGCTCAGCAGAGGTGATACAAGAAGACAGAACTGCACAAACCATCAGAATCATTAATCCAAGATTTTCTGGATTAATGTCCAGAAGTGTCCTAAAAGTCCACCCTCACTGACTAGCCTGCAAACCATTCTGCGGACTCTGTTCTATTTGCCTCTTTCCTCAACAGCAGGATGAAACTGGTTACATTCAGTCCCCATCCCCATTGTGTCCCACCAAGCAACATGCTCCAGAACTTTCTTTTAGCCACGATTTTCAGTATTGTTCTTGTTCTTTCAGTTACCACTCTTCCTTGCTTCTGGTAACACCTCACTGACTTCCAAGGTTGTCATGGTTGCTACTTACGGTAACAGTGTTTCCCGTCAGCTCCTAGCTCAAAGCCGGGGTGGCAGGCACACGTGAAGGACCCCTCTGAGTTCACACAGAGATGAGCACAGGGAGTAGGCTCTTCAGAACACTCATCTATGTCTGCAGGGAGACACACACAGCAGCCGTCTCAGCATCTCCAATCCAGCCTTATTTGTAAATTATAAAAGTACATATATATTGTCTCCTTCCACTTAACCTCTAATTTTCAACACAATACTGGATCCCACAGACTTCTTCCACTTAGTGAGAAGGAGGGACTTGTGAGCACAGAGCTGCTATGACCACACATCCTGAGTTAGTCTGATGCTCGCTAGTGTTTCTTCATGGCCACCCAAACCAGCTGCTATTAATGGAAAAAATAAACAGAACTAAAAATAACAGTTCTCATCCATTTCTCAACAGCACAAACAGAGGCCATTGTAGCCTGACGATATGAACATATTATATTATTGAACAGATAGATATCTTCATCCCCTGCCTTTTTCTTTACAACATTCCTTCCCACCCTCCCTGTCCTTCAGAGCCCCCCCATATTCCCTTTTCCACTCTTCTTCAAATTCATGGCCTCTTTCTTCTTCAATTTTTATTGCATGCATAAATGTATTTGTATATACACATATGATCCCAAATATGACCTGTTGCAGCTCCCTGCTTTAAGGGGGGAGGTGCAGCGATGGGCAAGTCAGATGTGGGGCCTTTCTCATAGCAACCCAGGCTTGGTCCATATATGTCTTTGTAACTGTTATGACTATGATAAGACATGCCATATGATTCTGGCATCCTCTCTTCTGAAAGAGATGGCCACTTTGATTCAACATGACTTCTGTTTTGGGATTCAGGTAACCTCCTCTTCTTTGTAGCTGAAGAGGTACTGTCACATCTTTTCTGACTCGTACACCTTCTTCCCTCACATTTGGCTGCCGTTCCCCATTCTCATGTACTGGTAGAGCCCTCAAATGTGCAGCGGTGTTGGGGAGAGATTTCTAGGGCTGATGCATCAGACACTAAAATGGGAGCCTGAAAAATGAAAGTTATCTGGTTTTCTATTTATCTTGTTTGTTGGTGTTCAAGAAATAATACCGAAGATCTTCTACTCTCCCTTCTGTCAGTTGCCAAGCTAGGTTTGTGCTGAGAAATGAAAATGAGGGATTGGGGCAACGGCTCAGCATTTAAGAGCACTGCCTGCTCTTCTAGAGGATCCAAGTTCAATTTCCAGTACCCATCTGGCAGCTCACATCTTTGGTAACTCCAGTTCTGGGGAATATGATGCCCTTTTCTGGACTCTGTGGGTACTGCATGCACATGGTACACAAACATAGGCAAAACACCATACATATTGAAAACAGTAAAACAATAATTAAAAATGGAAACCAAAGTAGTATATCTTTGCCAAAATAATATGCTTAAAATTCATAAAACTTTTTTCTTTTTCTTTCACTTCGTTTATTTCTGTGCATGTGTGTGCGTATGTGAATAGGGACCGGTGTCAAGGCACACAAGTGTGGTCAAAGAACAGCTAGCAGTGGCTGGCCTTCTTCTTCCACCATATGGGTCCTGGGACTTGAACTCAGGTTGCCAGGTATAGCTGGAGACTTTCTCTGTCCCGCCCAGACCTACTGGACCTGTTTATCTCCCACCCACCAGTCCCCACTGTTGCTTATTATCAGCGAATCAAACCCACACCAGTTATGTTTTAAGGGGTTATTTATTTTGGGGGGTAAAACTTACATACACCATAAATCGTCAGGAAGGGAGCCTAGTCGCTGGAGCAGGAGCGGGAGCAGGAGCAGGGACCAAGCGCTGCTGGAACCAAGAGGCCCTAGCCGAGATCTGTGGCTCTTTTTAAAAGAGAAATATACCACGCCCCAGTGGGCTGGTATTTCAGCGGCTATTGGCTGACGGAGCGGAAGGCGCTCCTGTAGCACCATGGGCTCGTGCTTCAGCGACTATTGGCTGAAGCAGCGGAAGATACTTCCGCAGCAGCTTATAAAATAATTATTCGGAGGCTTAATATTAATTATTGTTGCTTGGTTGATGTCTCAGGCTTCTTACTGGATAGCTCTTACATATAAATTAATCTACTTCTAATAATCTGTGTATTGCCACTTGACCTGTGGCTTACCAGTAATGTTCTGGCATTTTAATCCTTTGACTGGGTACTCCGGGCATCTCCCCACTCCACCTTTTGTTCCTATTCTCTCTGCCTGGATTTCCCATCTTTCTATAGTCTGCCCTGCCATAGGCCAAAGCAGCTTCTTTATTAACCAATAGTAATAAAACATATTCATAGCATACGGAGGAGCATCCCACTTTATCTAGGCCCAAGCCTGTATCAGCTGAACCATTTCATCAGCTCTCGTTTTCCCCCCAAAATTTCACAATGATTTTTATGTTTAGTTTGTATTCAATTTCTCAACATGTTTCTCCATCCTGTAAGCCAAGAAATATTTTGCTGTTTTTATAATTAATCCAAATAAACTTTCTCGTTTCATGGAGATGCCATGATAAAAATGAAGAATTCTGTGGTTTCTCAGATGTTATTAAAACAAAGACTGTCCCACAGGGCTTCTCTCCTTCTCCATTGGTGCCAGTCATGAAATAATTTAGCTCTTTCATCTTTGAACTGAAGTGTGTCTGCTTTGCTATTTCTGGAAACAGAAACGTGTAACCTTGTGTTTATGGAGTTTCTTTCTCCTCTCGTTTTAATTATTCCTAAGTTCTGAGAGCCTCATTTGCACATACTTGCTTTTCAAAGGTTACCTCCACCTCTGTAGCCTATAATCAAAAACCCCCTATGTGGTTACTGAGGGGTTTGAAATATTAATTCTCGATTTTGCTTTTAAAAAAAGAAACAGAAAACAAAAAACATTACCTCTGAAAGCACACTAGGTCATTTTTTAATAATAAATAAGAATTTCACTAAGTTTTCTGTAGCATTCTAAAATACTTTCATAGTGATCAAGTAAAGAATTAAAGTGTTCCTTTTTAGCATAAATAAAAACACCTTTTCTACTACCTGCTCCAACTGTTCAATATGACCACAACAGAATTTCAAATAATTACCCAATTAAGATATCACTTTCAGCTTCCTACCTCCACAGGCCTTTTTGTCTGCAGACAGCTGGTACCCGGCATGACAGGCACACCTGGCCACACCGTTCTCGCTTTGGCAGAGGTGAGCACATTCCTTCCTTCCTGCACAGGGGTCTGTCTCTGAAAGCAATGAAGCAGTGAAAGTTCATAATTCATTCAGTTTAGAAAGATGTGCTGAGTGGATGGCTGGAAAAAGAAAAATCACAAAGATATTAGAGTCGTTTGTTTCCCATTTAAAGATGGTTATATTCCAAAATGGTGTTTCCCTCTTTTGAATAGACCTCATTCAACAAACACATTTCTGCTTTTGGATCTGAGACCTGATTCTGGGCAAAATAAATAGAGAGATCAAGGTCAAAGGGACTTAACCTAACATCCCTGTTCCAAGTTCTGATCCCCTTCCCTCTGATACAGAAGGCAACCAACCACAGTTCTGCAGCATGACTCTGTTTCTCTAGCTACAGTTGTCCACTTTGGACTGCCAGGTTCTCATTGCATCAGCTCCTTCGCTAGACACTGGCTCAATAGTCAGGGTGTCAAGAAAAGGCATGTGGAGAAATAAATGTGGAATTCCTGGCTCTTGAGGACAGGATCTTTGTATGTAACCCAGGGTGGCCACGAACCCATCCTGATCCCCCAGCTCTGGCTTCAGAATGTTACAACCTTCTGGTTGTTCAGGGTACAACCATGTTCCACCACACTTGCTAGTGATTACATTTGAAATTTCTGAGTGTCTTTGGTTGTCTAAGACCAATTATTGGTCCCAGACTCTAATTATTGTTATAAATTGTTAAGTGGGGTTTTCTTGTATTTGTTAGGAGTTTTTAATTTGAGAAATGTTCATTTATTCTGTAGTCTTCTCCTGTGGGACAATGGTCTGTCTGTTCCCTGTCACTTGTATTTTAAATAAATGCTAATTTGGCAGAAAGTATAGGCAGAACAACCAAGCAGAAAGTAGATGTGGGGCAATGAGAACAGGAGGATTCTGGGAAGAGAAAGAGTCAGTCCACAGTCAACACAGAGGAAGCCAGACAGTGATCAAGCAAGATATGATTGTCTCACCGAAAAAGGTACCAAGCCACGTGGCTAACACAGACAAGAATTCTGGGCTAATATAAGTTATAAAAGTTAATGGGAAACCTGAGCTACCAGGCCATAATTAATAATTAATATAGACCTCTGTGTATTTCTTTGGGGGTAAATGGCTGCAGGTCTGGAGGGATGAACAGAAACCTCAGACAACAGTCTTTTTTTTCCCTAATGTCTTTTCTTGTCTTTGGGACAGAGTAATGCCAGCATCATGGAGTGTGTCCCATGGTGCTGCATATCCTTATACCATCTGACAAATACTAGAACTTTGGTTTAAGTTCTTTAAAAGCTTGGTGGAATTTGCCTTGGTGATTTCTGTTTTGAAGAACTATGAACATTAAGTCACTTCCTTCATTAGGCACAGAGATGTTCAGACTGTCTCTTTCTATGAGATCACCAGGTTGTCTTTTCAAAGAATGGATCCAGTTTTACCCAGGTTCTACAAAGGAACTGAATCAAATAGTTGGAGACTTAAATATTCCCGTGATTGCAATTAATAAGACAAAGTCAAAGAAGGGGTTTATGGTGCCATTCAGTGGCAGATTGTCTGTTAGTATATACTCAG